CACAACACGGAACAGCACAACACGGAACAGCACAACACGGAACAGCACAACACGTAACAGCACAACACGGAACAGCACAACACGGAACAGCACAACACAACACAGAACAACTCAGCACAACACAAAAAGCTCAACACAACACAACACAACACAGCACAACACAGCACAACACAGCAAAACACAACACACACAGCACAACACAACACAGCACAACAAAACACAGCACAACTCAGCACAACACAGCACAACACAACACAACACAACACAGCAACACACAACACAACACAACACAGCACAACACGGAACAGCACAACACAGCACAACACAGCACAACACAACACAACACAACCAACACAACACAGCACAACACAGCACAACACAACACAACACAGCACAGCACAGCACAACACAGCACAACACAGCACAATACAGCACAGCACAACACAACACAGCACAACACAACACAACACAGCACAACACAGCACAGTACAACACAGCACAACACACACAACACACAACACAACACAACACAACACAATACAGAACAACTCAGCACAACACAACACAGCACAACACAACACAGCACAGCACAACACAGCACAACACAACACAGCACAACACAACACAGCACAACACAACACAGAACAACTCATCACAACACAACACAGCACAGCACAAGACAACACAGCACAACACGGAACAGTACAACACAACACAGCACAACACAGCACAACACAACACAGCACAACACAACACAACACAGCACAACACAGCACAACACAGCACAACTCAGCACAACACAACACAACACAACACAGCACAACATAGCACAACACAGCACAACACAACACACAACACAGCACAGCACAACACAAACACAACACTGTACAACACAGCGCAACACAGCACAACACAACACAGCACAACACAACACAACACAGCACAACACAACACAACACAACACAGCACAACGCAACACAGCACAGCACAACACACCACAACACAACACAACACAGCACAGCACACACACCACAAACACAACACAACACAGCACAACACAGCACAACACAGCACAACACAACACAACACAACACAGCACAACACAACACAACACAACACAGCACAGCACAACACAGCACAACCAACACAACACACACAACACAACAGCAACAACACAAGCACAAACAACAACACAACACAGCACAACACACAGCACAACACACACAACACACAGCACAACACAAAACACAAACACAGCACAAAAAAGCACAACACAAGCACAACACAACACAGCACACACAACACAGCACAGCACAACACAGCACAGCACACACAAACACAGCACACACAACCACAACACACACAACACAACACAACACAACACAACACAGCACAACACGGAACAGCACAACACGGAACAGCACAACACGGAACAGCACAACACAACACAGAACAACACAACACAACACAACAGAGCACAACACAACACAACACAACACAACACAACACAACTCAACACAACACAGCACAACACACAGCACAACACAACACAACACAGCATAGCACAACACAGCACAACACAACACAACACAACACAACACAACGCAACACAACACTAAGTGAAATGTATTTATGCTGCCCTTGATGTATATGTTAGTGCGTGTGTGTACGAATGTATGTGCGTGTGAACTCACCTATTTGTACTCACCTATCTGCGGTTGCAGGGGTCGAGACATAACTCCTGGCCCCGCCTCTTCACTGACCGCTACTAGGTCCTCTCTCCCCCTGCTCCATGAGCTTTATTATACCTCGTCTTAAAACTATGTATGGTTCCTGCCTCTACTGCCTCACTTCCAGACTGTTCCACTTCCTGACAACTCTGTGACTGAAGAAATACTTCCTAACATCCCTATGATTCATCTGAGTCTTCAACTTCCAATCGTGACCCCTTGTTTCTGTGTCCCATCTCTGGAACATCCTGTCTCTGTCCACCTTGTAAATTCCTCGCAGTACTTTATATGTCGTTATCATGTCTCCTCTAACCCTCCTTGCCTCCAGTGTCGTCAGGCCGATTTCCCTTAACCTTTCTTCGTAGGGCAGTCCTTTTGTCTCTGGAACTAGCCTAATTGCAAACTTTTGTACTTTCTCTAATTTCTTGACGTGCCTGACCAGGTGTGGGTTCCAAACTCGTGCTGCATACTCCACCAGTATGGGCCTGATGTATACGGTGTACAGAGTCTTGAACGATTCCTTACTGAGGTATCGGAAAGCTCTTCTCACGTTTGCCAGGCGCCCACATGCTGCAGCAGTTATCTGATTGATGTGCTTCTCAGGAGATGTGCTCGGTATTATACTCACCCCAAGATCCTTTTCCATGAGTGAGGTTTGCAGTCTTTGGCCACTTAGCCTATACTCTGTCTGCGGACTTCTTTGTCCTTTCCCGATCTCCATGACTTTGCATTTGGCGTGGTTAAATTCTAGGAGCCAGTTGCCGGACCAAGCTTCCAGCTTGTCCAAGTCTCTTTGTAGTGCTGCCTGATCCTCATCCGATTTAATTCGTCTTAATAACTTCACATCATCTACAAACAGGGATACTTCTGAGTCTATCCCTTCCATCATGTCATTCACATATACCAAAAATAGCACTGATCCTAGGATTGACCCCTGTGAAACACTGCTTGTCACAGGCGCCCACTGTGATACCTCATCACGTACCATGACTAGTTTCCTCATTGTCAGGTATTCTCTGATCCATTGCAATGCCCTTCCTGTTATACGCGCCTGATCCTCTAGCTTTTGCACTAATGTCTTGTGAGGAACTGTGTCGAAGGCCTTGCAGTTCAAGAAAATGCAATGTACCCACCTCTCTTTCTCGTGTTTTACTTCCTTCACCTTGTCATAAAACTCCAGTAGGTTTGTGACGCAGGATTTGCCTTCCTTGAATCCGTGCTGGTTGTCGTTCATGAGTTTGTTCCTTTCTAGGTGCTCCACCACTCTCCTCCTGATAATCTTCTCCATGACTGCATACTATACACGCCAGTGAACTGGTCTATACTTTAGTGCCTCGTGTGTGTGCCTCGTGTAGTGTGTGTGTGTGTGTGTGTGTGTGTGGGTGTGTGGTGTGTGTGTGTGTGTGTGTGTGTGTGTGTGCGTGTGCGTGTGCGTGCGTGTTCGTGCACATAGCTATCTGAGTGTGTAGCAAGGGCATGTGCACTGAATTTTTTCTCTCCACTGACAATCAATGGTTGAAGGCTACACACCATGACTGGCTCACACCTCCCATTTTTGCACTTCCATTTACCAATCCATTTTCCAGGCCCTCAACAGTCTTCGGTTGCCGCCTCCAGCCTCGCCGAAAAGTCCATCGCTGTTTTCGCTGGATCTCGTTAAATTTCTCGCTAATGCTCTAAACTCTCTTGATTAATTGACGACTGAAACAGTTTTCTGTAATCAGGAAACTCGAGAGAGAAAATAATGAATTTTCAAGACCGATAACTAAATATTTAGCGTGTAGGTGTGTAGATAAATGGTTCATAAAATCGGCAAGTTTATAAATTAGACACATGTGCAACACTTGGGTATCTTTACTGTGGAAATGTTTCGCCACACAGTGGCTTCATCAGTTCAATACAAAGACTAATGATGATTACATCGACTCCCTCAGCCTGGAATCGATGTAATTAGTCAATCAATCAATGAGATTACTGAACTGATTACCCCAAACTCCTTCTGATCTTCACTGTTCTTCTTTTTATTGGATCGATGAAGCCACTGCGTGGCGAAACGTTTCCACAGTAAAGATACCCAAGTGTTGCACATGTGTCTATTTTATCAGCGTCTAGATAAAGAGGAATGTTCTGATACACAACAAGCCGAGGATGCTGGACTCCGCTTTAACACATTCCAAAGACTTTCCAAACTGAGTTTTTGAAGAGGATTAAAAGCGTCTTTCATGGAATTTCCAGTCCCAAAAATTCCACTCGGGGGCAGAAGAGGCAAGCTTGCACTTTTTGTTTTAGCTCAGATTAATTAACAGCGAGTTGTGTCGATAAATCTTACTTGTTTCTGGTATGTTTCAAGAAGATCAATGTTCCAGGTTGTCGGTATTGTTATACCTGTACTTGTAGCAGTGCTCGCAATTCAGTAGGATTGAGCTCCATTTCTGCTGATTAAAAAAAAAAACAACATCAGATATATCCAATCATACGAGACAGATTTATCATCCAGGAGAGAGATAACGTCAGTAAATAACGAACTTCACTATATTATATATTGACTGTGTGTTGGCGGGTATATCACTCCTCATGATATTAAGAATATTACCTTATTCCTAGTATATATCCTTTATAATATAAATAAGATATTATCTCCTTTATAGTATAATAATAAGGCATTAAAAGGACCCCAATGGAAATAAGTCATTCTGACTTTTTTGGGTTATCCTAAGTTTTCTACACATATGCTGTTATGTATGATAAGTTATGTAACTGTATTTGTGTATGCGTGAATAAACTTACTTCCCTAATTATTTAGAATACAAATCACAGTACCATGGCTGCAATAGTTCACAAAACAAAATCTTCTAAGAGCGGCTTTATTTGTGAATAAAAAACATTAGGCTTAAACTCTTTTAAATCGAGTATCAGATCATCCTAGTGATACCTGAAACTAAAGTCATCTTGGACTTCGTTCAGTTAGAGGAGGGAAAGGAATGGCGAGAGAGGATAAAGCTACATTTGAAGAATATTGCTAGACTGTTAAATCCCTAAGGGTTACACGTGGAGGATTGCTCTGATTCCTTGGATCGAATACCCCTTATATGAGGATGACGGCACACTTCCCTCGCGTTCATTGTACAGTGCTGTCACTGGTATGACCACGTGACGTGTTGTTATTTTTAGGTACTGCTGGGCACCCATCTCTTGAACGATGCCTTGGGTACTCACCCTTTGCATGGTGCTCTGGGTACTCACCCCTTGCACAGTGCCCTAGGTACTCACCCCTTGCACGGTGCCCTGACGTAGTTTAATGCTGGAATCTTGTGCCCAGGACCTTGCTGGACACATCCCGAGGACCACCACCAGCACAGTGAAGACCACGAAAGACCATTTTCTCGGGATCGCTGGGATGGCAAAACATTTCCAGTTGGCTGTGCCCATCGGAGACCATTCAAGAAGGTCGATGGACCATACAGACCAGTCCGGACATACCAAAGGCTTCAGAGACCATTTGTTAATGGCCACAGCATATTTCGTGCCTCCAGGCCCAGCAGGCAGTCGGGCCATTCTCGATGTCAAGGCATTTCAAGTATCCAAACCTTTTACGACAGGACTGACTGCCGCGCAGTTTGTGTTTGGAGGATTTTCTGGAAATGGAGGGATCATTTTTAGAAACATTCATGCTTAGTGTAAAAGAAAAAAAACTCACCACAAAAACCAGTCACTCATTTGATTTGGTTTATTTACATTAAAAAAAATACATGAGTTACAGTACCATTTACATGATATTTTTAATCTTCTCGTTTTCAAGGATGTTGTTGTCTTCTCGTTACTCTCGCCAGACATTCTCTCTGCCTCTGGGCATCACTCTGCCTGTGTTTCCTTTACCTGAGAAAGTGCAAAGAGTTCTGTCAGTGAATAAACAGAAGAATGGGCAGGGAGTCGATCAGTTGTCTTAAATGATAGGAGGTTCAGCGTTCTACCACTGGGCTGCGAGACTTTCAAAAGGACTGTTTCACAGACAGCACTGCTGTGTCATGTCTGTGTCAGTGGTCACCGTCTGTGAAACCAGTTGCCCTATCCTACAGCCTCAGTAGTTGTTATGGCAGATCTCTTCTCATTCTATTGAATGAGGGCTGGACCTGCTACCATTCCATTTAGGACCACGGTTCGATTCCCTCTCCGTTCCTGTTTATTCATAATATATATATATATATATATATATATATATATATATATATATAATATATATATATATATATATATATATTATATATATATATACGTATATAATATATAATATATATATATATATAATATATAATATATATATATATGTATATATATATATGTATATATATATATATGTATATATATGTATATATATGTATATATATATATGTATATATATATATATATATATATATATATATATATATATATTTATATATATATATTATATATATATATATATATATATATATATATATATATATATATATATATATTATATATAATATATATATATATATATATATATAAATGAAAGATTGGTCTCCAGTGGGGGTCCTCTTCAGCAGATATAAGATGTGAGTACGGAACATGTTTAAAGAGACGAGAAGGTCAACAAGTCAATTATAGGTCATACCATCGAATGGCTGAGCGTCAAGTAAGAAAAGTTATGGTTTAACAGTGGAGTTATAAATGGGTGTAACGAGCTGCTGCTCAACCAGATTCTTCGTGTCAGCAATTCTACAACTCTATTGTCAAACCAGGGATTTCCTGTCCTTCAACCCCCCCACACTTAAGTAGTTAGTCCTCTCATGCTACGAAAACCTGTTTCCCACCCCTTGAATCTGCTGAAGAGGACCTAAAGCGGAGGTCGAAATATAAGAAGAGAAGGGGTAGGGGAAGGGGTTGTAGGATGAAAGAGGTGAAGGGACTTCAGGTGAAGGGGAAAGAGAGAGGCTTTTGACAGGGTCCCACATCAGAGACTGTTGAGGAAAATTAAAGCACATGGAATAGGAGGAGAAATTTTTTCCTGGATAGAGGCATGGTTGACAAATAGGCAGCAGAGAGTTTGCATAAATGGGGAGAAATCAGAGTGGGGAAGTGTCACGAGCGGTGTTCCACAGGGGTCAGTGTTGGGCCCCCTGCTGTTCACAATCTACATAAACGACATAGATGAGGGCATAAAGAGCGACATCGGCAAGTTTGCCGATGACACCAAAATAGGCCGTCGAATTCATTCTGACGAGGACATTCGAGCAACTCCAGGAAGATTTGAATAGACTGATGCAGTGGTCGGAGAAGTGGCAGATGCAGTTTAATATAGACAAATGCAAAGTTCTAAATGTTGGACAGGACAATAACCATGCCACATATAAACTAAATAATGTAGATCTTAATTTTACGGATTGCGAAAAAGATTTAGGAGTTCTGGTTAGCAGTAATCTGAAACCAAGACAACAGTGCATAAGTATTCGCAATAAAGCTAATAGAATCCTTGGCTTCATATCAAGAAGCATAAATAATAGGAGTCCTCAGGTTGTTCTTCAACTCTATACATCCTTGGTTAGGCCTCATTTAGATTATGCTGCACAGTTTTGGTCACCGTATTACAGAATGGATATAAATTCTCTGGAAAATGTACAAAGGAGGATGACAAAGTTGATTCCCATGTATCAGAAACCTTCCCTATGAGGATAGACTAAGGGCCCTGAAACTGCACTCTCTAGAAAGACGTAGAATTAGGGGGGATATGATTGAGGTGTATAAATGGAAGACAGGAATAAATAAAGGGGATGTAAATAGTGTGCTGAAAATATCTAGCCTAGACAGGACTCGCAGCAATGGTTTTAAGTTGGAAAAATTCAGATTCAGGAAGGATATAGGAAAGTACTGGTTTGGTAATAGAGTTGTGGATGAGTGGAACAAACTCCCAAGTACCGTTATAGAGGCTAGAAACGTTGTGTAGCTTTAAAAATAGGTTGGATAAATACATGAGTAGATGTGGGTGGGTGTGAGTTAGACCTGATAGCTTGTGCTACCAGGTCGGTTGCCGTGTTCCTCCCTTAAGTCAATGTGACCTGACCTGACTAGGTTGGGTGCATTGGCTTAAGCCGGTAGGAGACTTGGACCTGCCTCGCATGGGCCAGTAGGCCTTCTGCAGTGTTCCTTCGTTCTTATGTTCTTATGTTCTTATGAGAGAGAGAGAGGGAGGGGAGGGGAAGGAGAGAGAGGGGAAGGGGAGAGAGGGGAAGGGGAGGGAGGGGAAGGGGAGGGGGGAAGCAATGATGGTAGTGGCAACTCTGTCGCCCTCTCTTCAGGTTCACTGAAAATGAACTACAAATTTATTCCTTTCTTGAACACGAACATTTAAATGCTGGTAAACGTCTTTGTTGAACATTCAAATGCTGGAAACCTCGTTTATATTTTATGACTAATGAAAGCCAGCAAGTGTATTTTTTTTGTTCAACGTGTCAATGAAGTTTTTTTTACCGATTTAAATTTTTATTTTAACAAAGGAATAACACACATGATAATGCAAAATTTTTTGCATATAATGATTGAATCAAGAATGTTTCTATACTGCTTCTCAGGTGTTTAATTAATAAAGTCTCAACATGTGTTTCCATACTGACCTGCAACATCTGTAATGTATGTAACATCAACATCTGTTATTTTAGTAACATGTAACACGTCTAAGCTATGTAACATCGACATGTGTTCTCTGGCATAATGTCACCCCTTGAAGAGGTGATCTATTATTTAGCGCCTCACTTCTGTTTCTCTCTGCTTAAATGTACGGTTCCATATGCTAGTTTCATTTATCCTGTTAGTTGCTCTGTTTCTAGTCAGAAAGCTTTTTGTCTAGTATAGGGATTCGGGCTCTTGTCTGTACCAACAGTGATACGTTATCTGGCCCACCTAACACCTGTCGTGTTCAGTGCTCTCAGGTGTTCCACGGGTTTCACCTGGGTGTTCATTCAAAGATAAAGCCAATAAAAATATATATACACTCGTGGACTCACCAAACACTCACACTCTCCAAGCTTGATCTGGTGTCCCTTTTTACTCAGTGAAAAGCACTCGAAGAAGCTTATTCAACTCTTTAATATTTTTCACGATTCTTTGGTGTCATTTGTCGTTCTTATCAGGCTATATTTTATCTTCCTTTTTTACCTTTGCCTTTCTCTTTATTCATTCAAAGTTATTTATAAAACTACGGTACAGGTGGGGTTCGAATCAATGGCAAGTAAGTCGTAAGCCGGTGTCGCAAGTCGTAAGCCGGTGTCGTAAGTCGTGAGCCTGTGCGTAAGCCACTTTGCCAACTGGTTTGTTTGCAATCGTGTTATTACGATTTCGTGAGTTATGTTATTTATTTCTCTTCTTTCAGTCGTCATTTGTGCCTTGTATTTTGTGTTTTGTGTTTTGTAAATTTTCGTTTTGGTTTTGTAAATCTGGTTAAATCTATTTATCACTCTGGTGAGAGGCATTAATGTTTGTGGCTTCCAGTACTAGTTAGGTTATCCATCATGTACTGTGATCTTGACTATTCTAGTATTCACTATATCCTGGCTATGTAAGTTTTTATCCAGTTATAGTGTGTGTGTGTGTGTGTGTGTGTGTGTGTGTGTGTGTGTGTGTGTGTGTGTGTGTGTTGTGTGTGTGTGTGTGTGTGTGTGTGTGTGTGTGTGTGTGTGTTTGAGTATGTGCGAGAGAGAGAGAGAGAGAGAGTCGAGTTGTGCTTTCTTTTTATAAAATCCTTTGTATGTTATTTTTAAATTGCTAGAATATTTTTGAATCCTCGTAATACTAGCCACTCCCTGGAGGAGTGGCTAGTATTACGTGCTGTCTAGAACTCACCCACCAGGACCCTCACTCTCAGAGAAATGGCTTTGTTTTCCATGCAGGTTAGTCTTTACCGTTATTCTTTTATGGAACACCTCCCTATCCATGTCCCCTTCACACAGGTCCCTATTCCCGTTACACTGTTATGTAATACATACCTATTCCCCTTCCCAACCCCACCTCCCCTTACCCACCCCATTCCTGGGTGACTAAACCTTTCCTACAATCTCATCCTCACCCCTCACCTCTACATTCCCTACACCACAACCTTACTACCAGGTTCAGTCTTCCACACCACCGCATATTCCATCCCCTTCACATCCATTGTCCATCTCTATCAACAGCCTCTACTCCATCCCCATACTCCTCTTCATCCTACGTCACCAGCATCAACTTCATCCCCCATCCTCAATTCTCAGTATTATCACAACTATTACTCTTCATCCCCCACCACCAGCACTATCACCCACCTCTACCTGCCCTACAAGCACCACCACCACCCAAACCACAATCACCACCATTCACCTCGACCCCTGGCAACACCTGCATCAACATGAATAATCACCACCACCTCCCTCCCTCCAACACCTGTACCAGCATCCGGCCCTCACTTCGTTTTGACCTAATTATCCTCCTAAACACACCGCTACACCGTACACAAACCCGGTGCTAATTATGCCAATTAAACGTTTCAGTGAATTCACAAAAGATTTAATGAGAATAAAAAATCTCAGCTGTGATTACCATTGGAAGTTTTTTATCCAATTCATGTTTCGAGAAAAAGGTATGGAAATTTTATGGTACCTGTTCTTTTTATCTCAGACGCCAGTCTAGAAAATGTGATAATAGTTGCCGAGCATTTCCCCATTTCCTAAAAAGGTTTTCATATCCAGCTTTCACGATAAATGTTTTTTTTCATCGTGAAATACATGATTAAGCTCGAAATGCTCATAAATTCTAGCGGTTTTCTTTGTATATAACAATATTTTATTACATGTAAACGACACATTGTACTGTACAAAGAAATAAACGAT